CAATCTATGATCAGGTATTCATCAAAGATAAAAGAATCAGCTCATTTCGTTAAAATATGGTGAAGATATTCAATGTTTTCTTCGGTAAAGTGACTTTTGGACCAATTGGCACATTTATTAGCGTCGAAACTAAGATCCTGTATAATCTTCGAATGGTCTAGGCGAATCTTGGACGAAAGATTGGACGAGTTCAATATGGGATTGTGAAAGTAGTTTAAGTTAAAACTCGAATCAGTCTACAGATCAATGTTGGATTCGGATTCCTATTGATAAACCACTAATGAAGCACTGGCATATCAATTAATAATGCCATTAATCGATCAATAAAGTTTGAACCCATGAAGTTATGGCACATCTCATGAACAAGAACTATATTAATGAAAAACTGTCCAGAAAAGATGTGATGCTTGCCGAATTCGCTCATTCGTTACTATCTAAATTGAAATTTCTTTGCTTTGTGAAAGTTTATCAATTGAAATCAGAAATCAACACCAATCTGCAAATTAATTCTAATATCTAACGTGAACTTTCTCTACCATGCCATATTGGACACAACCGATCTCCAATGCAAGCTTCGCTCATGGCAATGCATATTGAATGTAATCTCAATTTGGATGTTGGCATATGTATATGTATGTATACCTGCGTATAATCTGTTTACTCTTTGCCAAGCTATTTCATGTTTTCACATGTCTTTTTTTCTTCCATAGGTCTAATAAAACGCAATCCTATAGGAAGAGAATATGTTCGAGAAAGTTAATCTTTGGATTTCAACACGATTCAATGTCCATTTTAGCTTTCATTTTTTTGTAATTAGATTAACATGATTTATTATATTGATGACTATTATTTTTCATTATATATTTCTTCGTAAGTTTACTTAGTTCTCCTCTATTCGTAATTTTTTTTATCTGTAAATAATAGGTGAAATAGAAGCCTCATAGACTGTAAAAAAGAAGAGTAGAATAATAAACCTTTGCGCTATCTACAAATTTTTATAAACCCTCAAAATAGTTTATGAAAGCAAGGGTGTGTGAAAATAAAAAGGGTTTATAACTGCTACCGAAGGGGTTATTATACTGAGATTTACGGAGAAGGATTTATTATTCTATCTTGAAGAGTATATTATTCTACAGTTCTGGCAACAGAGTTTCCTACTTTACCATGAAGAGTTTATTATTCTAATGTTTCTGATCACACCGTGAAAAAAGTAGAATAAGAAACTTTCACTTTAAGTACAATTTTTCGTAAAACCTCCAAGGGTTTATGACGGCAAGGGTGTATGAAAATAAAAAAGGTTCATGACTGCTATATTAGGGTTTATTGTACTGATATCGTGCATGCTGGGGTTTTATTATTCTGCGTCTGCAGATCTATTATGATAGGGTTTCAGGAAAAGGGTTTATCATTCTACGTCGTATGGTCTAGTATCATGAGTTTTGGCCGAACGATGTATTATTCTACATTTCTCAGACAAACGTTTACAATCTTATATTCTATATAGTAGTTGAATACAATAAACATATACGATGAATGCGTTCAAATTCGATTGGTGGCTGACATGAACGTAAACGGATGTCGTGCAAGTCCGTGATATACGATCGTAAATGGTTCCAACTTTGTCCTAAGCTAAGATGCCTATCTCGATTAACACCGCTTTTTAAGACGGAGCATAAAATCTCATGATGAGTATTAAATTGCGAAGTAAATGATATTTTGTACTATTTGGACTAATTTCCATTAAGTATTCTAATTTATTTTTAATATCATAAAATGAAGATAAAGAAATGAAAACAATATCTATATTATTTGAAAAGCCAGCAGATACTTAAGAATAAAGAAACATTTTCTATGCTAGTCAAATAAACAAACAACTATCATAACACAGAATATGCTAACGTTCTTTCTTATCGTCAACAATACTTCGACCCGTGATGCTTTTACATATGAGGATGATATAGAAAACGACATATCCAAAAGCCTTGTCATATTAGTTTTTTGTAACTATGGTGCTAAAACCTTTTTTGTTAGTTACCACAAGAAGGTGAAAGACAGCGTGTTCATGAAAAAAATCTTCTTTGTTATTTATTGTCTTTATTTTATTAACATGAATATTATGGAACTCACATATATTTCCGAAGAAAATAGCAAGTAAACTTTCAAGTCGAACTTATGCAACACCTCCCTGCCTTACAGATATCAATAACCGTAAAGAACAGGCTTTAGACTTCTGTTCCATAGCTTCTTATCAATAGAGAGAGGAGCTAAACGATATCAACAACAAGACATCGTCTGTTCTAGAACATGTCAAACCTTTCTCGAACTTTAAGTGACTCTAGTGCATTTGTAAGTTTTATGATTAGTTTACATTATGATTTTGGACATATGAAAATTACTGGAAAATGTAGAGAATGATACGCAACGACAAATTAATTTTTTTACCGTCCAAAGATCAATGTAAAGTGTCTCAATTTATCAATCCATAAGTTTGGACAATAATCAGTAGCAGAGTTTGCGAACTCATCGAGATAAATATAATAGGGCGTTGAGAAATTGGTAATTTAGATATAATGAATCTTTACAAGTGGCTTGTTTGTCCATTAATTTAATGCTTAGAAAAATAACAATTTTAATTGAGTTACAGCAAATACGTAAAAGAAAAGATGGGCCAGTAGCTACCATCCAAACAAAACAAAAGAACGACAATAAATTATAGCAAAAAGAGAATGAGATTCAACATGTAGAAGAAAGTAACATCTACCGACTTTGAGGAGATCGATTACCTTGTAAAACAATTATAGACTGCTAATGACCTTTTGCTTAGTTGCAATTCGATTAGTATAATGAGACAAAGGAATACCTGAGTTCCACATTTCAGCCCCAAAGGGGCTGTGCTGACAAGTTGCCTTTATTTATATTTCTTTTTTGTTATTATTCACTTTTAGATTAGCTAACCCTCACAATCTCAATACCAAATGCAATAATAAGTATTCATTTATCAAAGCAATTTTTTTCAGTTGAGATTTACTTTAATAGAAGATCTAATGGTAAGAATATATTATGAAATTTTATCATTTTGTTTCTTTAGTTTTATTCAACGAAAACGTATAATGGTAAGAAAATATTCATAAAAATAATCGTTTATGTTTTCTTTTTAGATTCATTCAACGAACATGTCTTATAGTAAACATTCATTGATAAAATTGAATCTTTACTTTTTTAGATTCATTCGATGAACAATTCTATTGGTAACAATTGATTTATCAAATGAAATATTTATTTCCTTTATTTGGATTCATTCGACTTACACGTACACTGTAAATTTTTTTGAAATTCTACTTCTTAGAAAATCGATCTCAAATAAGCTGAAGCATTTTTAAAGTTTTATGATTTATTCATTGAATTTTGAATAATTCGAAAATGCTTGATTTTCCAATATATAGAAATTCAATTTGATTTTCTAAAAAATTGATTTTCAAATGAATTAGAAAATCAATACAAATTCTAGAGAAAGTCAAAAATGAAAGCAACTTTCTGGAAAATCATTTGAACAATGACCGCTATAGAGTCATTGTGCATTCATGTATATAAGTCAGCTGATAGTGTTGTGCATTCATTATTTTCTTCGGCAGCCGTAGTGAGTAGATAAGTTATATTTTTTTATTTAGAGTTATTATTCAAGTTTTAAATTTGAATAGGATCCTATGATTTGATTTTATTTATTGTTCTTATGCATTAATGTTAGATGATATTTATTATTTTGATGCATTAATGATGAATGATGTTTATTTATTTTGATGCATTAGTTACAACGATATTTATTTATTATTTGATGCATTAATGTTCAATGATATTTATTAATTGTTTTGATGCATTAATGATCAACGATGTTTATTTTTTATTTAGATGCATTAATTATAAATGATATATTGTTAATACGAAATAGAAAAATAAAACATACTTCATTATGATATGAAAATCCAATTCGATTTTCCAGGTTTTAAAAAATACTCGAATTGCTATATCGAATCCGAAATTCTAGGAATGCCTATATGAATTCACTCTCGATTTTCTAATCAGAAAATCAAAATTCATATTTCTAATGCTTCGAATATCTTATTTTCAAGAATTTAAAAATTCATCGGCGAATTCATATAGGCATTCCTAGAATATCCTCGATTAAACTCTATAACTCATTTTCTAGTTTACAGTGTATCATGGTAAAAATTAGTTGTAAAACTTAATTTTTATTTTTTTTTTATTTAGATTCATCTATTGAACATTCTACTGATAAGAGCTAGCTTATCAAATTCAATATTTGTTTTTTTTGTTTAGATTCATTTGACGAAAATGTATAATGGTAACAATTTATTCATAAAAAAGAACGTTTTTTTTTCTATTTAGATTTTTCCAACGAACACGTCTAACGATAAAAATTCATTTATAAAATTGCATCGTTGTTTTCTTAGATTCATTCGATAAATAAATCTATTGGTAAGAACTATTTTATAAATTAAATGTTTGTTTTTTTTTTATTTAGGTTTTGTTCTAAATAACGAATTCTAGGGTGAGAATCAATATATTTAAATAAATTTTGTTTTATTTTTTAGATTAATCAAGATTTAACAATGTCATGGTAGATTTAATTTTTATCATCAACCGTTTATATGCCCTTGCAAAGGGTATATGATTTTCATAAACCCTTACAATGATTTATGAAAATTATGATATACAGTAAAAAGGGTTTATTATTCTACGCTTTTTTTTACAGTGTACTGTATGCATACACCAAGAAATAAATGATATATTATCGTATATTCTTCTTTTTTTATATTAATATGATTGCTTCATTGCACATGTCTTGTTGTTTAAGCAATAAGAAAAGAAAATAAAAGAAACACATGAGCCACTGAGTAAGCGTTAGTAATCACATATTAAGGTGTTATTTGTACATTCTTTTCTCCGATATTTCTCGTGATATTTTTGTTGAAAAAAATCAAATGAGTTATAGACAACCCCTATTACAAGCATCTCATAAATTTCCTATTGCTACTGCTTCTGATGATGCTGTTAATAATGGAAACAAGAAACAACTTGTAACCAATAGGTATGATCTAATTATTAACTAATTAAGTTCCAAAAAAATACAATCAATTTATCCTTATTCGTAGTTTTACTAATTGGAGGCGATATTTCAGTAGAAAAAAGGACAGTAATACATATATAAAATTAGATGATGACACTAAACGTAGTGACAAAGATGAAGCAGTTGATGTTCTTCGATTAGTAAGCATATTCAGGCAATATAAAAATTTATTGATCTATTCGATTTTATTGTAGTTTCAGTTTGCAGATCGTCTTGATTTTGTTCTGATGCTTCTGGCTTTGTGTTTGATGCTGTTTCACACTGTTTGCATTCTAGCTAGCCTTGTTCTCTTCGGTCGAGTTACAGGATTATTTGCCATTCAATCATTTGGTGATAATTGTTATGATCAACGCCAAAATTCAATAATTGCAATTAAGAACAATAATACATATCCTGAAGGCATTGAGCTTAATATATTCAACAATGTTTCATCACATGAGTAATTCAATAGAAACTATTATTCATTACTAGGTATTTCTTTTATTTTATTGGGAATATCTTCATTTTAGAATGCATCATAATAGTGATGCAGTTTTGTTATCAACCTTAGCTACATCAATGTCTTCATTTCGAAAAAAAGTTATGGATATAGTCTATTGGTTATTCAGTAAGTGAAGTGAACGTAATCATTTGATTATAACAATTAATTAAAATTGTCTTTTTTTCTTTATCAATATAGTTATTGGTGCAGTAGAATTTTTGCTTGGCTCGATTGAGAACTTCCTTTGGACTATTAGTACGAAACGACAAATATGTCGTATGAGTGTTTCCATCTTTCGATCACTTGTTCAGCGTGTAAGTCGAATGTACTGCCATTTATCAAAAGAAATCATGCTCAAAGTTTAATGTCAGTCTTTTTCGAATCATGACTACGCCATAAAAACATCTGATGCTCTGTCTTTCTAAATGGTTTTATCGTGATGAAGACAAGCAGCTAGAACGATATTTAAGGCATATTGATGAACTACTATAGATATTTGAATCGTAAAATTTATTCTCTCGACTCCTGTGTGTGGAAACGATCTAACTCATTCTACAGATGCATCATTTCAATTAAAATTACACACTTTTATCTATAGAAGTTGGAGTGAAATCGTGTTTATATATTAGGGAGTTTCTCCAGATGTCACATTCTAATATGAATGATTTTTCGCATGTAAAGTACATATATGTCAGAGACTTGCACAAATTTTGGATTTTCGAAAAAATCGTGTTTTTGAATTCTACTTTGAAACTATCTTATTTTAAAGATATCATATATACTGTAGCTTATATGAACTGTTGTAGAACTGGTAAACTTCTAATCTCCATAATAGGAACTTTCCAGAACATTCTTGCATTTTTCAATCCGTTTCGAAAAAGCG